TCGCGGCCAAACGCATGACATCTCCTCCTCGCCTCGTCCCCGTTGCCCTAGCACCTCGTCCCACGGCCTCCGTCGAACACGCCCCTGCGGTATTTTTCTCACCGATTGAAATAGATCAATTAAATCGTCAAGTCGATAACACGTTGATCATGAAATTCTCTGCTGGTCGTCCGAGTTTACAAGATATCAGATCCCACATAAACTCGGAGTGGAACTTCTTGTCGTCCGAGCCTGCAATTGGGTTTTTGGATCCCCGACATATCACCATTCATACGGGCTCTATCCAAGATGCAAAGTTAGCACTCTCCCGCAAGTCTAACAACATCAAGAATTGTATGTTCTGTTTGTTTCGTTGGACGCCGGAATTTACTATTGGTAAAGACAGTAGCAAAGTAGCGGTTTGGGTTCGTTTACCGAAACTGCCGCTCCCATATTTCAATGTCTCGTCGTTGGAAAGAATTGGAGCGGCGCTCGGTAATGTTTTACGAGTGGATGAAAGAACGCTTGCATTCACGCACACTCATTACGCCCGGGTGTGTATTGAGGTTAATGTGGCTCAACATTTGCCGGAGTCGATTTTTATCGGCGTATCGAAGGATGATGGGTGGGGGCAGAAGGTAGACTATGAGGGCAATCACACATATTGCGCTCATTGTGGATTATTGGGGCACTTAGTAGGAGCGTGTCGAAAGAAACAAGGAGTGACAAAACCCCTTGTAGCGAAGACAAACCCGGTGGGACAGCCTCGACATATGCTCCGTCGGGGTGCAGCTGAGACCATTCCCGTTGTAGTAGAAGATGATAGAGTCGTTGGTACCGATGGTATACATTTTGAGCCGCAAAAGTTCTCTAACAAACACATTTTTTCCGTAGGTCATAGAATATATTTGGATTCTATGGAAACCTTTTGTTGATATACAATGCTTAAATATTTTCGCCTAAGCAATCACGGTTACTATATCCAGTCCTAGCCAGCCGTTGTTCACTGCTTCCTTCATTTATGCAAGTTGTTCGCATACTGAACGGAAAAATATTTGGGCTCACATTACTGCCATGCATGCTGTTATATCCACTCCATGGTTAGTACGTGGAGACTTTAATGCCATTTTAGACGTTATGGAGAAGAAAGGAGGGTTGGTTGATATCTCCCGTCTACTTGATTTTCAGAATTTGGTGTTGCAAAGTGGTTTAATGGACGCGGGATTTATTGGGAATCCATTCACTTGGAGCAATAATAGGACGGGACCTGCGAGGATTTGGAAGCGTCTTGATCGGATCCTGGTTAGTCCCTCGTTTCACCTTTCTTTTCCAAATTTGAAGGTCGTTCATTTGGAGCGCACTTTGTCCGATCATGCGCCTTTATGTGTGAGTTTTGAGCAGCTCCTGGATTCGGTTCGAACCAGATTTATTTTTCAGCGTATGTGGGTAGATCATAGCTCTTTTCTAGAGATAGTCAAGAAGGCGTGGACTATTCCCGTATTTGGGTCTCCGTCGTATATTTTTCAGCAGAAAATGCATAATGTCAGGCGTGTTCTTAAGCGGTGGAATTGGGAAGTGTTTGGTGACCTACAAAGTAATATCAAAGCTTCTCAACAAACAATTCAAGCGTTTGAAAATGAGCTTCAACAGGGCTCGAATGACGAGATTTCGGGGCATCTTGTGGAGACTAAGAAACATCTTAATCGTCTCGAAGACTGGGAAGCGGAGATGTTAAGTGCCAAGGCTCGACTTGCATGGGAGAAGGATGGGGATCGCAACACCGCTCTTTACCATGCGTGCATCAAAGAACGGTGCAAGCGTTCGACCATTCAAATTAAGAGAGAGGATGGATCCATTACGACTGATCCTAACGAAATAGGTGCTATAG